TGTGGGGTGGAAAGCAAATCTGGGTGTTTCTGCTGAGAAAAATAGTCTCTGGGCCATATTCTGAATTTCTGCTGGAGCAAGTCTCGAGCTCTGACTCAAAATATAAAGTAACTTTTCATTTTACACAGGTAACTGAGATCAGAATCAGGCTATGTAATATTATTGCAAAGTGGCCAGTATGCCACAATTCTTTGCTTAATTGCATTTTTGAGGGTCCATTCCACAGTATTCTGACTTTCCTCCTTGCTTCCAGGAGCACATCCTATTAAAAGAAGCTAAACATTTACAAAACAGTTTCCTAAGATTACTCTTCCACCTGCAAGATGGCTGTAGCTGCTGCTACAAAGATGTATGACTGTGAACCAGGTGGTGTGTGGCGGTGACAGTCTGTGAAAATATTTGAGAACTGCTGCTCTAGAACAATTGGCAGTGTAATTTAACTTTTTCATAGAAGCGATTAGCTTAAAAAAACCAAAACAACTCCAGTACTTCCAGAGAGATAATTATGATGACAAACCTGTGGATATTTTCAGTATACAGTAAGACTGCAGGGCTTTATTGGAGTAAGGACCCTGAAGTGCAGCAAAGTGAAAAACTGTGTTGCCATTTCAGCACAACACTGGGGTAACAGTTACAGGGTGCTTCTGCCTCTTAGCATGTGATATGGGCACCTTCCCTTTGCTTGGCTGTAAACCCGTCCCTTCAGTAGTTTCATGGCCTCCAGAAATTTTGTAGTGAAACCAGGTATACATGACTCTCGTTAGCATTAATGGGCGTTCAGGGAGTGAATTCCCATGCACACAGGTGATATTGTGTAACTGCCATATGGCAAGAGTCATAGGTTCATTCACCTATGCTCCCCTTTGCAGAGAGAAGAGGAAAAATATACTAAGAAACATACTTCTAATATACAATTTTGCATACCTGGATAGTTGCATTGTGCCCTCATATCTACAGAGAGCACTGTCTTTGCTATCATCCAAGGCATTCATTTGCAGTAACTTTAAAATACTTCTGTTTTTTGAGTGGCTTTTTTCCTCCCATGATGGTAGAGTGTGTGTTTAGGCCTTTCTTAATGCTTTGAATTAAAGGCACCACTGGAATTGGATATTAAGAAACAAAGAGACTGTTCTGATCAGGATGGTAGACCTTTCTTTCAGAATCCCACCTCTGATAGTTGCCAGTAGCACACACTTCAAGGGAACGTGCAAAAAACCCCCTATACGGGAAATTTTGAAATCACATGCCAATGGAAAAGAGCCAGGGGGAAGAGACTGTTTCTTCATAGCATCAGGCAGATGATTCAGAGTTCATTTCTGTCTTGGAACTTGAGGGGCACCAGGACCTATTCACAGCTTACCTTCCCCTTGTGCTGTTATCAGTGGGTATAATGTTCTCCCGTTTTGAGTCGATGACATTTTACACCGATTCTGCACCAGTGCATTGAACTGCAGAAGGAGCAGGTACAAGGTGCTGGTTAGTAGTGAGCTGGGACCTGGCTTCCTCATAAATTTTATGCATGCTGGCTAGGATTCCTATGAATAAGCAGATCACTATCCATATAAATAACTAGTCCTTTTTTGAATCCTCTTAAACTCTTTGCTTCAATATTATATGGTAGTTTTCCCTTGTATTAGCTCCTCAGAACCATTCTCCTTCCCCCCCTGATATTAGCAATATGTGTGTGGAGTTCCTCTAGTGAGATTTTTAGTTTGTATTTGCTAATTTTGAGACATTTCTGCAGTACTCAGACAATAATGCAATCCTATCACGTCATTTTCCACAATGGCATTGACCTCTGCAGGCTAGCTTTTCACAACACTTGAATGTGTTAATATTGTTGTCCATAGCCTTTTAATTTAATTAGAACAGTGGCTGTAATAATCTTAGGAAAAGCATTCATTCCCTTCCCCTTCTGTGATGAACTGGAGCATCTCTGCTGTATTCATTTACCCAAGCATTCACTCTAGCAGGGAATGAGACGTTAGGGCATATCTCTCCTGCCCTAGTGTTCTGAGATTCAGATTCAGTCCAAAGGAAGGAGGCAGGGAGGAACTGAACTCCATGAAATCACTAAGGTCACTAAAACAATCTCTGCTCTCTGTGTTCAGGAAATGAGATGTTAATCTTTTCCCAGTGCTGCTTTGCATAAGGTCCATTCCAGAGAGCTGTGTTTGTTTTAATTTCTCTAATTTCTGATAGTGTGCTGATTATGCTTCTATAGATTTGATATGAATTGCTATATTAATGGGATCAAAACTGAGTAGAAGTCTGCTATAGAAATTAACAAGGAGACACTGAAGGGGACTTAATCTGTATTTCCAAGTTGCAAAGCTCCTGCTTCCCTTTTCTGTGCCCCAGGTCTCTCCGTACCTCCCTCTCACCATCCCCATCTCCCTTGCTGGCATGCACAGGCTATGGGCCTGACCCAAAACCCAGTGGTGCTTGCCAGATCAGAATCTACTCCTCTCCCAAAACCTGCCCCCATTTGCCCAGACTCCCTTTAGTCTAATACCCCCTGCTCCTTGAACCCAAAGACCCTGGTCTCCTGCTGGCTGGATTCTGCATTTCTAAATATATCCCCCTTGCTAACCCTCTCCCGGTTTGCCAAGGTAGCATTGTGGAAGAACCTACACATCAGTGCCTTCTGTACCCCCTGCCCAAGGTCAGGGCACCCTTCCCTCCTTTCCCTAGTGCCTCAGCTTCTCCAGCGATGGCATCCACCTTTGCCTCAACTTGTCTCTTTGACATTTCCCTTCTTACAGCTACTAACAGAGCTGGCAGTACTTTGTCTGCAGTCAGGCAAAGGGCACTGTGTTTGTGTTTGGAGCATTTACTTTTACAGCCAAGAGAGCTAAAAATGTACTTCTTTAGAAACTGATGGCTCCCTTACCCAGCACAAATTTTTGCTCAAGGGGATTTTCCAATCCCACATCAGGGAAGCGGTGTTTCCCCACAACTGTAGCTATGGGTGAGGGTTTGCAGTGGTGTTTTGGGGGGTTTCTTCAGGTAATGATTGTCTGCTGTTGCCTAGGAGGTCTCTTTTCAAACCTGTGCTACTAACTAAAGAGCATGGCCAGAATGCCAGTGTCATCTCTGGGCCCAGCATTTAACGTGCATGAGGTGGTCATGATACCATGGTAGGTGATGGTGATAGGAGGTTGGTGGTGATGGTATGGATGATGCTGGAAGCTTTACTGACAGCTAGTGTTGCTCATAACTAGAGGGCAGCAGTGTCACCTCACCCAGATGGGACCATCTGTAAGACTAAAAGGGGGATGGTGCAGCTCATCTTCCATTTTCCCTTAGTCATTGGCCCTGCATACTAGGGTGACTGGGTTTTTTTTGGTTTTTTTTGAACCCACATTACTGTGTCTCCACCTAGTAGTGAGATGCTCAGTGGGTGGGTAGGACTGATACTTGACCCTTTTGAAAGGCTAGGTCAGTAATTCCTAAAGCGTGTGCTGCAAGAGTGATGCTAGTGTGACATGAGATCCCCCTCCCTGTGAAGAGGTAAATGCTGCCCTCCCCTGTCTGGTATCATTGTGCCTGCTCCAGTGACACCTGTGGCTGTTCCTCTGAGGAGTGCCGCCTTGTTGCTGCCTTCCCTTGTGTCCTCTGCTGTTAGTGGGCGAGCAGGTAGATCCATGCTTTGCAGCCTGGCTCGACCCCTCCATTCCTCCCATGCACCCAGGGCCAAAAGTGAGGGCCACAAGGGTGGTTGCTGACGTGAGATTCTGCAGGAGCAGCCTCAGCAGAAGGGGATGCCCTTGCCCTAACTGAGGAACAGACCAGGGGGTGGGATGGGGCAGACAGTGGAAAGACCAGAGCCTAGCAGGGTGATGTCCTGCCCTAACCACCTTTAAGTGGCACCAGCTAGATCAGTTCTCAGGTTTATTAGCCTCAAGGCCACCACCCCTGTATCTTATCTGAATTTAAATCTAGCTCAGTGGTTTTTCAGCTAGGGTGCTTTGAAATTCAGGGAAGTTACGGAAGGGGGCCTTGAGGCTATAAAGGTTGAGAACCAGTGGTCTAGAAACTAATCCTTTGCTTAGAGAAAGATGTATTTGGTGTCATTTTTTTAAAAAGTGTATCTTAGCACTGGTATGATTTCCTCTTGCAGGGGAATGGAATATGTTGCATGTTTGGGGGGGGGGGGAATATATATATTGGTGCACACTTCCCTCTCATGTCTCTCTAGATAGATAGATATATCGAGATAGATGGATGGATGCATGGATGGATAAAAATAAATATATCAAAATAAAAATAAAAGTGTGTGTGTGTGTGTGTATATATTCCTGCTTACCTAGCCCAAAGTTTCCTAAATCTTGATACCTGGGGCATACTTTTTTCTAGATTAAAATTGGCACACACTTCACTCTTAGACGGAATGAGCTTTCTGGGCCTATCTATCTACATTTATATGTATATGGAATACATATATATAAAATGGATGGGCAGATGGATGGATGTAGTTTCTGGGCCCAAGAGTGAAGCGTGTGCCAACTTTAATCTAGAAAAAAAAGTGTGCCCCAGGTGTCAAGATTTGGGAAACTCTGGGCTAGGTAAACAGGAAGCACTGTGAGTCAGGGACAGAGGGTAACAAGTCAGCAGACTGTGTAGCAAGCAGAAATAAACTTTCACTCTTGTTTAGCTGGCCTGAACACTGTAATACCATTACGTGTAGAAGTGGCAATGTAGAAGTGGCATTGACTTCTCTGCAGTGACAGACACAGTCACGTTGTCCTCCTGAGACTTGAGGAGAGGCCTTTTAATATACACATTTAGGGCTGATCAACCACAGCAGCCATCTTGACAGCCTGAATGCTGTTGCATGGTTTACATGCGCCTCCTGGATACCAAAGTATTCAGTTGCAATATACTAATTGTTCCATCTGCTTCACAGTGTCATGTTAGTGGGATTACTTTTTGTAACATGTTTTCTTCAGCAATTCTTTCACTTCTGCAAAAAATATGTATTTTCTTTGTGCATGCAGTTTGTGAGGACTTGGTGTGGGAACAGAAATAGGACTATCAGCTTGCAGGCCAGCGAGCATTCCAGGAGAGGCCTGCAGGTTCAAAGGGCCTTATACTAGTAGCGGTAAGAAGCTGTTTTTGCTTGTTTTCACCTGACTTCCCCACCCCACAGGTTTTGGATTTTTTTTTTTCATAAAAACACAAAATATACTAGAATTTTGCACAAAAAAACCAACCCAAAAACAACCCAGCAGTGTAAAGGCAAAATATTTTGCCTCTTCTTTCTGGATTGTCCCTTGGTTATTCACTTCACATTGCTAACCTGATTTTTTTTACCAAAATAGATTCTGTCCACAGAGGATCTATCTATCCCAGTTTTTCAGGCTGAACGCAATGCATGCTGTAACATGACTTTGGGAATTTAGTTAATTGGATATGAATACTCATGCTGGGTAGGCTTCATGGATGAAGATTGTGTGTTACCTCACTTTTAAGACTGTGCCTTTTGATTTAAGGACTTTTCAGTAACACCTCACTCTGACAGAAAGGGAGCAAAATTGAATGTGAAGACTAGGTCCTGTATTAGGCTTTGATTCAGGGAAGTTCCTGTGGCCATGCTTAAATCCATTCCTACCCAGCAGAGCACTTAAGTGTTGATTAAATCCCAGTAAAGTTAAACATGTGCACATGTTCAAGTGGTCTCCTGAAAATATTCCCAAAGCATTTAGCGAGCCTGATATCCAGCTGGTTAACCAGATAATACTGCTGGAGGACCTGGCTAGGAAGCAGACCCGCAGAAGGAGTCTCCCAGTCCGTTTTCTTGAAGTGGTTTTAATCTGAGTAAGGTTCCCCTGGAAACTTTTCTGGCTTAGTGAGAGCTGAAGGGATGTCTTCCAAAAGCTCTCAAGACAGTAGGAATCATGCCAACCTGTGCATCCTTCTATGCACTTGCAGCCACAGGCAAAATATTATGTACTTGCTATTTTGAAGTTATTTGTAGATTGCAATTATTTAGGGCTGATCTTTTATTTTTGTACTTTTAATATTCAGTCTTGTTAGACCATAGCATCAGGCTGTGAGCCTGGCCCAGAATAATTCCTTGCCATTTTATAGCACGCTTCACCAACCATCTCGAAATACCTCTCACACATTTCTTAACAAAGGTGGTTTTACCAGTGGGTGAATTTAGCTGCAGGAAGACTACGTGGTTTGCCCAAATTTGTGCAGCGAGTCAGTGGCAGAGTTAGAAACAGAACCTCCTCATCTGATTCTGACAATGCAAAGGAAAATACTGAATTAATTTGACTGAACTGTTCCATTTCCACTAATTATGGCATTTACCTCTTTTAGACTTCCCCAGGCAAAGTCTTTAGCTAGTATAAATCCATATAGGTGTGTTGACTTAAGAGGAACTCGGTTTATACCATCTGTGAACCTAGCTGACTAGCCTTCATTAGCTAGATGTGACCTTATGCCAGGGGCGGGCAATTATTTTGGGCAGAGGGCCACTTACTGAGTTTTGGCAAGCCATCAAGGGCTGCATGACAGGCAGCCTAGGGCAGGTAAATATTAATTTTCTAAATTTTTTAGGGGCCCCACGGGCCAGCTAGAATGGCCTGGCGGGCCGCATCCGGTTCCCGGGCTGCATTTTGCCCACCCCTGCTTTATACATTCACTTGTACATTTAGGCAGTGTTTTATGGTGAAAATTCAGTGCCCAGTACGAACTTGGCCAAGTCATTTACGATCTGTGTTTGTCTCAGTGGTCAGCACCATTGAGAATCTGGTCAGTCATAACTATCCACATGTAAAGGCTGTCCCAGGGTTACCTTAGCTATTGTTTTTCAAGGCATCTTAACTCTGCAGTTGCTTAGCTCAGTGTGTTCTGTGGGACACTGGGGTTCCACAGTAGGTCATCAGGGGTTCTGCAACAAGACTGGGGCCAATGGAGGAGTGGACTGGGAGACAGTGTGCTGCTATGGCTGAGCCAGGTCACCTGGCTCCACCTCAATCTTTAGGTTAGGGGTAGAGGGTCCATGGGAGAAGTAGTGATATGAAAGTATGAAAGGGTTCCATGACTCTAGGAAGTTTGGAAACCACTGGCTTAGCTCATGTGTACTGTACTCCTTCTGTTAAGTCAGTTTCCCCTCTGTAAAAATGGGCTGTCATTAATTCCTGTAAAGTGTTTGATCACTGGATTATAGGCACTGAAGAAATGCAGAGTATTAATAAGACAGAAAATTTTCAAAACCACAAAACAATATTTTGGTCAGCCAACTCCCATCTTGGCCTTTGAGACTATCTCCTACAACTGTGGCTGATTCACACCCTGTGATTGTATTCTGTGGCATAATGGAAATGTCAGCTGTGACAAAAGCCACAGTTCCTGCAATGTTTATAACAACAATTTTTGTTACGTTTTCCTACCTACCTTGAATTTGTGAATGGTGGAAAACGATGGATCAAATGCATTTACTTTTTAAAAAGTCTGTGGGAAACTGCATCTTTTGGATACAAATATTGTTTCAATTGCCGTGGGCTGTGCTTCACCTTAGTGGTAAAGCTGTGTAGACAGAAAGAGGGTGGTGGCTTGAGGCACTATGTCTTCATATATGATGCAACACCTCCTGGGTGTTGATGGAAATGCTGTTAGTGGGGCTTTGCTGTAGATGTTACTAGCATTCCCTCCCACTGTTGTCCGGTGGGAAGGCCCTTCTCAGGCTGTTAGTGCTCTTCTGTGAAGCCCTGATTTTAACATATGCAAGCACGAAATGGGACCTGAGGCTGCTAGCAGAGCTCACAGTAGTGGTCTGTCTCCTGCTTTTCAGGTGAAAAGCTGCTTCTTTCCCCTTTTCCTTCTAGTGCATCTGTCAGAGGCAGGGATCCATTTGCTGTATTTTGATAGGGTTCCCCCTTTAAAAAAAAATATCCATTGGCTTTATTTTGATAGGGTTCCCCCTTTAAAAAAAAAAATCATGTTAAATAAGCAACATCGCCAGCTGTAATGCGGTTCAGATATCTGAACTGAGGATCACAGCAGGAAGTGCGAGGAAGTGGTTGGTCTCGTTTTTTATCAGCTCCCCATTTGTTACGCATAAGCTGACTTTCAGAAGATGTAAAATGCCAGCGAAAGTGCAGAACTTCCCCTGGGTACAATGGCATGGACCTTATTGGAACACGAAGCTCGGTGTCAGCCATATTTGGCTGGAGGACAAATTGCACAAGTTCAGGGCATAGCAGTCAACTTCCACATGTAGATTTTTCTATCAGTTGTCTTACCTGCTGAATATCCCCAGCAAAAGAATGTCCCAGCTCTTGAGCTAGTAATCCTCTGTAAACTTAGCCATGGTAAAAGATGCTGAAGTGAAGGCCCTTATTCCTCCACAAAAGGAGAGAGGCCAGGGTCTTGACAGTGGAGGGTTTCCCATATGCCCTGCTAGAGTGCCTAAGAACTTTTCTTACAACAGAAGCATAGTAAGACCTTTTTACTTGGGCATTGTTTAACAGGCAGGGGTCAAATTATGGAATAATGATTAGGGGAGTTGTTTTGTTATATACTGTTTTACTTGAACCTTTTCTTTCCTGTTTTTTATAATTAATCTTATTATAAACTGCCCACAGCCTTTTTGGAGGGAAGATGGCATATGAATCAAAGAAATAACCCCAGAACAAGAAGCACATTGCAAGTAGGGATTATTCATTCTCTATGCACATTCAGTCTTTGATGCCTCTGCTGCAAGTACTGGCAATGTTGCCAGTTATTGTAATTGTGGTTGTTAGAAGATGGATTTTTGTTGATGGGTATCTGGGCTGAAACTAAATTGCTCCTTTCATGTGCATGTGCATGACTGAGCAGCTAAAAGACAGTATGGGCCAGATCCTGTTGTACCTATGAGGCATTTAAGTGGATTTGGGCATTATTTAAATGTGATCTAAACCTAAACTTGGTTTGAAACAGTGGCTGAAGGGTACAAAGCTGAATACTTCCAATTCTCTTTTATTGTCAAGTCCCCCCTTGGAATGTTCTGCTTTTACATTTTTAATTACCATTTGATTCATGTTGTCAGGAATAAGGAGGACTCTCTTGACCCTTGTGTGCATGGGGCAGAGTGCCAGAAAGCCATGACATTGTCATTCTAGTTCCATATCACGCTTTGGTGGCAACACTATTGTTTGCAATGGATCTTACTTTTTCCTGTTGTTTTGCCAGTATGTTTGTTCTTTTTTGTTTGCCACATTCTGTGGGGAATGTATGTGGTGGCATTCATTTTTAAAGTGTTCCTACTGAAGCTTTGATGTGAACGTAGCTTCTTTTGTGCACTCCCGGCTAGCTGCAGTGCTATCGTGAAACGTTAGCAGCACAGCTTTGGTATTGCTCACATAATCATCAGGGAGCATATGATAATGATTTCTATGCTCCTGCAAAATTGTGGCTATGTTTATTTACAAAGGGTATAATTGTGATGTGATTACAGCACATGTTTAGAATATGGAGGAATTTTTCCATCAGATCAGATGAAATTTCAGTCCTAGATTTCTTGACAGACGTTTTAGGAAATAAAACCAAGAACACACGATTGTGGAACTAGCATGACATTTGCAAGTTGCCTCTAAACTCTGTTTGAATGTGTTGTTATCTACTTTCTTTTTGCTGACTGATATTTGTTGTTGTTGCAAGTTAAATTTACTTTACTTTAAAAAGTTGCAAATAACTTTGGGGGGGGGGGGGAAATCCTGCAGCATTCTGCAGCAAGTACATTAGGGTCAAGTAATATAATGCTTTAATAGCATTTATTACAGTAAAGCAACTAATTACTTAATGTGCGCAAAATGCTCTGAAAATATAAAGTGCTAAATATTTAATGTTAATGCCCGGAGCATTGCAGTTATGCTGTTATATGATGTAGTCATTTGAGCAATTTCTGTAGAACAGTTATGCCTAATGCATGCGTGCACGCGTGCGCGCACATACAGAATTGCCATGAGGTTTACAGTGACTTAAAACCTCCCAGTCTACACACACACACACACACACACACCCCCACCCACCCACCCCATCAGATTTACAGTGACTTAAAACAAGTCTCCAAGTCTCCCCACTTCTATGTCACTTCCCTTTCTTCCTCCAGCAAATTTCTGACAAAATCCATGCAAACTTATTGGACCTTTTTGAGATGAAAAGAATCATCTTAAAAGCTCTCTATTCCCTGGCTGCAACTTGCAGGCTTGGAACTTCCAGGGATTTGATTTTCCCCTCTGCAGAGCTATACAGCAAGTGGACAAATTAGATACTCTGTGTGGTTCCCTGGCCAGTTTGGTGCATAGTAAGTGCTATTCGCCCCCACCACACATGCACACTTCCTTCCTTCCACCCACTTCCCCTCCCCTGTCTTAGTTTCACACCTCTATTCCAAAGTTCACATTGTCCTCTCTCTCTCTCTTTCTTTCTCTCCTTCTCTCTCTCCCTCCTTTTTAACAGCAGGAAAGAATTTCATACACGCCTCCAGCGAGCCCGGTACCAAATTACACTTCATCGTCACCACTACATGTCCCAGTGCCTCGAGCAATCAGGATGGAGGAAGATGCGATCAGACTGCCTGCACACCTGCGTGAGTACCAATGGGGTAGCTAAGCTGGTGGGGTGAAGGGTGTGCATGTTCTGCAGGTTGGTGTGAAAGGGACATCTTTTAAACAAGCTCTAGTTGTTGAGTGTTTATCACTTAATTGAGGAAATTGCTGAGAAACAGTGAAAGCTTGTTTTCTGCCTTGTCATATGTGCTTGGGTTATTTCTTGTGGCAAGTGGGGAATAAAAAAGCAGGGGATCAAATCCAATCAGAAGTATTTTACTTCAGCAGAGTTGAACCAGGGATAATTTTTGCCCATTAATTCAACAAACTGCCCCTCTTGCTTGGTTAAGTCTGTCAGGATTGGGCTGCTTGCTGTGTTGTGGCTTCTATTTTAGCACATCTTCAAGTGTGACCAGCTGAAAGGGACTTCTTTGGTGGTGGTAACAGAGTGGTTACTAGCCACGTGGCACAGCCAGTTCCTCCTGCAGTTGCCCTGGGCTCTGCACTGGAAACTATGAATGCATGTAAAGGCCAATGGAAAGGGGAGAAGTGATCCCAGTGGCATCCTCTAGTACACCATTCCCTCCATTGGTGAGGGGAAAGGAGTGGTATGTAGTTGACATCAGGACCAGGACTGGAGCTGATTGTGAGGCCAGACCAGGTGCTTCCTTGCTGAGATGATGTAGCTGTTGGGGAGTAGGTTGGGGCAGTGGCTATGAAGGTTTGGGGTGTGAGGAGTGAAATGGGGGGAAAGGAGACACTAGAATTTTCCTTTTGGGAAAGGAAACAAATCCAACTTTAACACTTATGTACAGTCATTAGTTCATCAATCACCAGGTCTCTCAGTGCTACTGTTATTCAAGGAGCAATCACAGTCTGGTGGCAAATACAGTGCCATGTAGTGTGGGATGGGATTTTGGAAGAGCACTAGTCCATAAGACACTGTCTTTTTAAAACATATCCATGGTATTATAAAGCATGAGAATCCCTATCCTAAATTTTCCTTTAGGCATAGCTCTTTAGCATCCCTCAGCCAGACCCCTGCCTTTCTGTTGGTACATCTAGAAATCCTGTTCTTCCTTTCTTTCTGTCCCAAGAATTAGTGTCCTGAACTTACCTGTGATAGCCACCTATTTTTGCTCATTTGTTCCTCTTGCTTTCTCCTTCCTGTGCAGCCATTCATTCAGGTGATCCTATCTGATTAACTTTCTGGACAGAATGTATGAATTGTCTGTTTTGGCACCACCTATCTGGTACTAGCCCTCAGTTTCCCCTTTATCCTGTCTCTCAGTACCTACTGCGTGTAAGTAGCTGCTTACCTGTGTGTAAGGCTACTGGCCAGTTTCCCCATTTCAGGAAAGCCTCACAGCCACAATCAAAGTTTCTAACAGGGAACTGGTTTATTTTTCCTCACTACATGTGGGCAAAATATCAAAGCAAAGAGCAGTTTCTCTGCTCACTGTGGCCTACAGGTTCGTGAGGTTCTTCCCCTTGCCTTGATCAGCACTTGTGTCCTTTCCTTCAATTCTGTTGCTTCAGAGGCTACTACAGGAGCCAGTCTTCTAGTCTGCTGTCTTCTTTCTCTTCAACCAAGTCTCTTGCTGGCGTTTATACTCACTTGCTGCTTTCCCAGCTGGATCTGGTAACTAAACTAAGTTGGCAGGCTCCAGGTTTCTGGCCACAAAAGAAGCAGGCTGGGCTATCCTGTTATTCCATCACTCAAATCGCTTCTGTGTAGCCACCGCTGTAGATCAAGTGTGAACCTCCGATGGAGAACTTTTGACCCAAAAGATTTTTTATTTGATTTTGACTGACTTGGATACTTACATAAGTTGAAATTTTCAGGAAGGTATCCCCACCACGAATATTTCTTACGCCTGTCCAATTTCTTGTACAGTGAAATGCCAGGGAAGACCAGTTAGCAAGCATGTCTGAAAAAGTCTTCTACCACGTCGGTGGCCTGTCTCATAGAAATTGTAAGCAGTATGGAATAGAGATCGTGGTCTTCTGTGTTCAGCATGTAATTTCAGTTCTCAACAAATACTAATTTTTGACTGTCTTAATGGAATTCCTTTCTTTGGGGATATTAATTCATAGATTTCTAAGGCTAAAAAAGATTATTATGATACTCTTGGTTGACCTCCACTATAACTCTAGCCTCACCTAGTGATTCCTGCATAAAACCTAGGATTTCTGTTTAACCATAACATGTCTTCCAGGAAAGATTTCTTGTTTTGATTTGAAGACTTCAGGTGATAAAGATTCCACCAACTCATTAGATGTGTTCCAACGAGTATTACCCTCATAGTTATAAATCTATGCCCCATTTTGTAGTCTGAATGTATTGAGCTTTACCTTCCAAATATTGGCTCTTGTTATGGCCTTTCCTCCTAGATACTATCAAAAATTACTTTCCCATATAGGAATTTTGAAGTTGTGATTTGAGTCACCTCTTAACCTTTCCTTGGATAAACTGAATAAGAGTGTGGGCTTATGAAATGTTATGTATAGCACAATTTCCAGAATTCATATCATTCTGGTATGTTTTTTGAGCCCTTTTCCATTTGTAACATCTGTTTTAAAAGTGAGGGTTCCAGAGCAGAACACACTTTTCCAGTAATGATCTCACCAGTGCTTTGTACAGAGATAACAAAGCACCTTTTCCACCCTGAGTTACAGAATTTAAGTGATCTGTGTGGGGAATTTTTAAATTAAAATTTCTGCTGGATCATTTTCTATTAGAGATGTAGGTAAGACCACAATATCTGAATCTGTCTGAACTTTTTCAAACTCAAGGCAGGGCACTTCACATCAAGGAAATTAGTTCATGCCATTACAGAAATGAGGGATAGCTATAAATATCCGGTCCAAATCAACAAAGTTTTTTAGTGTTTTCAGATCTAGGGTCTGGTCTGGGTCCCCCTTTGCTTTTAATTCTTTCAAACTGGCTGACACTTGATAACTATTGATCTTCCCTCAACCCTCTCCCTCTTCATTATTTCTGAAGGCCATCAGGAGATGTGATACTGTGCTCAAGTCACAGCCACTATACAGGGCTTCTCCCAGAGTCATATGACATTAACCAAATACAGTTAAGATTTCTACCTACCCTCTTCTCTTGTGTATTTTATTAGGTGCTGAATCGCAGAGAAAGCAGCTTTTTATTTATTTAACCTGAAAAAATAAAACAGTACTGTATTTGCCTTCTTTTCCACAACCTCTACTGCACAACAACTGTAATGGGATGTTCCAAATGGGCCAGGCAGGCATTCTCATCACACTTTTTTTAATATAAAGATGTTACTGGATGAGGCATAGAAATACTGAAGCTAGAGAAGAAAAGGACCTGTGATGCCTTCCAGCTCCTACAGATTCTTGCAGTTTGAATGGGTTTTCCTGACTCCACAGGGTAATAGGTCACACTAGGTGCATCTACACATGCAATTAATGTGAAGCAATAAACTCCGGAGCAGTTTGAGCTGGAGTAAACTGCTCCCCCGGCTTGTTAGGCTGATCAGGGGTGCAGTTTACACATATGGTCAGCATCTACATGTGCATTTCAGTGCAGTAAATTACTCTGTTGTAAGACAGTACTATCCTTGTTGGCAAGGTAGGAGCAGGAGGATGGGGAGCAAGCCAGCTCATTGCCACCTGGAAGCAAAAAGGCCAATTCCAGGTCATATTAAAATCCTGGAAGCTCAATCACTCGCTCCAGGATTTGTCCCACAGTCATTAATTTAATATCTACCTTTAACAGTTGTATCTTATGACGGAGTTAATTAGTTTACTGTGCCCTAATACTGGCGCATGTGTAGACAGTGACGCTTTACTGTAGAGCTAATTAGTCTACTATGCAGTAAAGTGCACGTGTGGGTGCACTCACTGTCAAGAAACTCCTTCAGATGTTTCCACGTTCTCTAAGCAGTTCTTTTCTTGATCACACCTTGGAGTCAGTGAGGCAAATTGTACGAGTTAACTCTTTTTATAATTATGAATCAATCATTTGTGACCTCTTTAAAAAAATATTTTGTTGTTGCTTTTATATGAACTCCCAACAATCTATCTGCTATTGAGACATTCAGAACTGAATGCAATATTCCAGGTGCTGTTGCACCAGCATCATGATGTAGAGAGGAATGTTTAAATCAATGCTCTATAATGCAAAGTATTATCTCTTGGGGGCTGTGAAGAGAAGAGCGAATTAAATTAGTTAGGGCTTATTCATGAGACAGGTTGAGTACCTGCAGCTCCCAGTTTCTTCAAAAGCCAGGTGCAGGTGTTCGTCATTTTTCAGGGTCTAGCCCTTGATGTAGTCTAGCCTGTGATTGGCTCTGTTGAGCTTCATTGCTTTCTAACAGTAGCTGTATTGTAAGACTTCCCAGATGTGTTCATATTCTTCCAGTCAGGTCTCCTGTTCATCTAAACATGTTAGTGTCACTGTAATACTGCAGCAGGCAGCATTAATAATAGTGTGTTCCATTGCCCCTAGTGATAGAAGAAACGGGTACTTAATTTAATTTTCTACAGCAGAGATGTACATGAGAAGTGCTAAATAACAGTGAGTGTTTTATATGCACCTGATGGCATCTCTCTCTCTGCATGAGTAGTTTGGATTCTTGTCTCAGGCAAGATCAGACCACTTGCTTTTGCCCAGTCCTGCACTCGGTCTCAGCCCTGCTCATGTGACACATGGCTGTATGAAAAGAACCTCTGCCTGATTCGTGTGTTAACTAAGCCATAATGCAGCTCTTAGTAGTATGGGAGGCAGTCAAAGGGCCGTTGGGTTGGGAAGACACTAAAGCAAAACAGGCATTTGCCAGACCTAAAAGCAGTTTATCGTGCCTTACTCCCAACTACATATTATTGCTCTTATGCATCATTTGTTTTTTAAGTGCAACTGTTTTTATTTTTCAAAGGAATGCAGGAAACAATTAGGGGGAGGAGGAGACGCAACAACACTGTCACAATGGCCTGTGATCTATTTTTCTGTGTAGGAGCTATTAATTGTGTTACTACTTTTATTAATCCTTTGGCACCTGTT